AGTGAAAAGATACAAATCTTTTTTTAAAAAATATTTTTATTTATCAAAAACCATAGTAATCCCTTCAACCGAACACAACATAATGTGTAGGTTCCCCATAACCATACAACCCCTGCACAACAGTTAGGCCCTGAGCACAAAGCCGAGGAGCCTGCATATATTCTTCCTCCAACAATACACCCAAATAAAACATTTTTCAGTCAATAAACGGAGATATCATAAATCAAAACAGAATTCATATCATATATCATAACATAATCCAGATTAGAAATCATAACAAAATTCAGATCAGAAATCAAAATAGAATTCAAATCGGAAATCAAATAAAACATTCATGTAATTAGGGAACACACTAGTGTTTACAGATATTATTAGAGATACTGTATAATCTTATTGGGTAGAGAAATACAGATCTTTAGTTCACCGATAGAATGTCGGAAGTTAGAATCACTATTAGAAGAGTTCATTAACTGACAGAATCATCAGTTATTCAAAATATGATTTATCAGGATCATATCTTATTCGTACATTTTTCGGAAGCTCAACGTAATCATAAGGGTATTCATAATCCTTTACATATGAGTTACTTGTGTTTTCATATATGCCCAGAGTGATTTGAGCTGATAAAAGAGAAAACGCAGATTCAGAACATTTACCCTTTATATTGATCGATCAGATTATTGAACAACTCCCAGAACTAATTCCTATTGATTAGTCAATTCTTTTCCCTTCTAGGGTATTCTCTCTTTAATACTAACAATTCTTGTCTATAAATCATCTTCGTAATCATCGCTGAATAGATCTTCTAATGGTCTTCATTTTATTTCCACGTTTCAACAATATAAGGAAATACTAACGTACTTGATTCGTGGTTCATGACCCATAAGGACAATACATCACATAAGTTCAACAGTGTTTCCATACTCATCCAAATCACTTATTTAATCCTCAGTCATTGAGGTTACTTAGTTCATTTAGTAGTCACGTCTATCCCGGTTACTTCAAAGTTTCCAGAGTAATTCGGACGTTTCTGAATTTCGATACATATTATACTTTCGTTCAGTTAAATTTGGTCTTTGTGGTTGACTTGTCTAACAAATATCCACTTCTTAGTACTGAATGCGATATAGAGTTGAGCTGAGCTGAACACTTCCAAAATTATCATCGAGCCAAACTTGAGAAGACGAACACACATTCAAGTAATATCTAGGATGTTCAGGTGCTGACCTATCATTAGCGTTAGTCAACTCACTTAAGCTGAATTCCATAACTTTTAAGGGTAGTTCAACACCCATGTTTATTTGGATTCCTTAATTAATCCAAAACATTTACTTAGTCTAGGCCATAAGGGTATTTTGGTTATTTTTGTGCTCAATGTTTTTCTATTCATCTTAGAGCTTGAGGATATCCAATAATTCTTGGGCTTGGTGATATTCTTGATTCATTTCCATTCTAGGGGTATTTTGGTCATTTTACAAATCTGGAGTATTTCAATCATTTCCTTCCATATGATCTTATTATTTAATTCAAACATATCATCTTTTCCAGACCTTTCAAACAATTCTGACAAAAGAGCACCCTCGATAATTTATTCTTAACTCAAAGATTTTCAGGTCAATTGTCTTCTCAGAAGTTACCATCATGTTATCAGGAATTTTCTGTACAAATACAGGATCTTAACAATTAAATCCATAATTTATCGAGTTAAGTATGAATCCTCAAAGTACTTTCTCATTCCGGGTCAACTCGGACTATTTTTACCTCTCAATGGCATTTTCATAATTTTTTAACCAGATAACTTTGGTATTAACTCTTAACGAAAATAATATAATTTAGAGATCCTATGGTTAATTGCTTTCCCGAACATTCTCTGATCTTGAAATGATTCTCTTAACAGAATTCTAGTATCTTGCACAAACCCTCTTGGGGTTAAAAACCAGTTATCCAAATTTTCTAAGCAAAACTAGCATTTCCTATGCACATCTGTAATTTTATCAGATCAATATGTCTTTTCATAGTTATTAACCAACTTTCAGGGATAATTCTTGTCATCTTACAATATAAGGGTATTTTCATAATTTTACCCTACCAGAGTATTCTCATAATTTCTCATCCAAGTACCTTTAACATTTAACCTTTGATGAAATAAATTATAAGTTACAGATCCAGGTTGATTTCTTTATCACTAAACACAGAACTTGTAATTTAATTCTAACAATCCCTCAATTTCTTATAAAAGTCATCTGATCCATAATCAATTACTGAATTTTTATCGTATTCAGATCGAGTGTAAAAATTAATTAACTACACAAATAAGACCAACATTATCTTATTCATGCATTTACCAATATTCACATGTTCCATAAAGCATAAAGAGGTAGTAAAGTATTACATCGATTTCCATGCAATACTGATCGACCATTAAATTCCATTTGAACTTCCTCGATCTTGAAATTAACTTCCAATAATTCCTTTGATACATATTAATAGAAATTTCATAAAACATGGGACTTAATTTCGAAAAATGGATCGAATCGGGTGATAAATCAGTGAAAAACATATAATCGGGTTCAAATTTAGAGAAAAGGACCCCAAAAACGGATTCTGTACATCAAAAATATAAAATATGACTTTTCGAAAATTTTGACTTTTCGGTCAAAGTCAACGGGTTTGAGTGACAATTTCGAGGCTTTCAGATCTGAATTTAGCAAAATGAACTACGGAATCGAACTCATGACGTCGAAAAACATTAAATATGAGTTTTTGAAATTTTTAACTTTTTGGTCAAAGTCAACAGTCAACTGGTTGACTCGGTCAAAGTCAACGGTCAACGGTCAATGGGTTGACTCGGTCAAAGTCAACGAGTTAACCCAGTGAGTTGACTCAACCGAGTTAACTCAGCGCATGTTGACTCAATCGGCTTGGCTCGGCTCAACGGCTCGGCTCAGTGGCTCGGCTCAACTGTTTACCAAGCTGCCAGACAAAGCCCACTCTCAGGGGGTGGCGCGTGGGGCGCGTGAACAGTGGTACGGTGTCTGAAAAATTCTCGAAATATTTCTAAAAAATATTTTATGGAATTTTGAGACACTTACCAAGCTCGGTTCACAATTTTGAATGGTGGAGAGCTCGATTTTGAAACATCGGGAACTTTGACTTCCTTACCCCTCCACGCGCCGGTGACGACGGAGACACGACGGACACCGGTGGACTCAGAATGATGCAAGGAACACGATGGTGCGGGAGGTGTCGAAAACGGGTGGCCGGATCGACGTGAATCGACGAAAAACCAATGGAGATTGAGTTAAAACCGACAATACTTTCGGTTGAAATTTACAACAAACGACGCCGATTCATGACGAGAGGTTTAGGGGATGTTGTTCATCGGTCGAAAACGAACACGATGGTGGTTTTGGTTCGTCGAACGGTGGTCGGACGGTGAATAGATCGGAGCTCAAAGTGGGTTGACCGGAGGAGGAAAAATGAGGAAAATCTGTAGAAAACATACGGGGAGATGCTTATAATTCTCTCCAAAATAAAATTGGTTAAACTATGAGTTTAGTCATTGAATTTCCTACACTTCCTAAAATGATATGTAAACTTTGAAATTTTATAATTTAATCCTCAATTTCTTCCAAATACCAATTAAATCCAATACTTTATAATTCTAAAAATTTAGCCCCTAAATTGGGGTGTTACACATTCAAACATACAATAACCTTTTATTTAAAATTTGAGAATTATAACAAATTAAAAATCACATAAAAATTGTTGAGTATTCGAAATATAATCGGTATCCAATCTATTAGCCGACTAATTCGGATTGAGTACTGCAAAGGCAAGGGAGCCCCTCCAACTCAATTTGCTCCATTCACAAACGACATGATTTGAACCTTTGACCCTGCTTAAGTGATCTAGTGCATCATCCCACTAGACCAACTGGTTGTTGGTTCAAAAAAAACTATATAACCAAAGTAGCAACATGCTAGTAACCTAATAGAGTTGAGCAACGAAATTGAGAAAATATAAAAAAATTGATTCGAATTGAACTATATGGTTCGATACGATTTGTGTTTTTCATTTTGTTGTTCAATTTTGATTCAGTTTAAAAATATAATTATACAATTCAATTCGGTTTTGATTTTTCATATGAAAATCATTTGTTCTAACTCAAACTAGATTAGAAAAAGAAAAGAATGTAATTATCCAAAAATAAACTTATTTTGAATTTATTATAAGATAAATTTAAATAAATAAAATTTTAAAATTAATTAATATTTTTTATGAATTTAAATTTATACACTATTATTGGATTTAAGCTTTAAGTTTGTTTTCTTTAAATGTTGAGTTTAAAAATAATGAAAAGTAAAAAAAATGATAAAATAAAATCGAACTAAATCGAACCAAAAATCATTATTTTTATACCATAGATTTTGATTTTAATTTTAGAACCCCATAGAGTATAATTTGATTTATATTTTAGTAAAAAACCGAATCAATCTACCAGTGTTATAATGTTCAAACAAATAAAATTATATGGTGCCCTTGATTTATACCAAGAGAAACAATTTTAGCCCCAAAGTCAATAGGCCAACAAATTTGAAGCCCAAATAGTCTGTTTTCTAAAAGAAGAAACAAAGAAACCATACATAATAAAAGGAAATTCATAGAGGTAAACAAACAAGAAGGGGAGAAAAGTTGAAAACTTCATCTGCAGCTGATGATTGTAGATGGTTATTCACCACTGGCTTTGAAGAGGAGAAGATTCACGAGTACTGATTCCATGAAGGCTGCATCAGCTAAACTCTGTCCCCTTCTTTTAATTTTCTTAATTCCAAAATCTTGTTTTAAGTGATGGACTGATCCGGATTTTTGCTCTGATTCTTTATTCATGTGATGGGTCTGGCTCTTGTTGTTTATTCAACTGGATTTGTTTCCTTTTCTTTATTTTTGATGCAACTAGATATTCCTCATAATGATTTATGATGCAATCTTTATTGAAGAATACTGGTCTATTCGTGAAAGTTGGTCAGTGGCTTCCGTTTTAGTTTTAGTTTTTTTTTTTTTTTTAAGTGCATTCTCGGGCAATGATCTACATTGTTCGTATGGTTTTCATAAGTGTCAGAGACACAACTTTGGCTTTCCTTTATGCAATTGGATTTGTTGAAACCATTCATTAAGATTTTGATTGTAGACTCATTAACTTGTGTGATATGCCGTATGCAGATTGTAGACTGTTACTCAATTTCTTCATTTTTTTTTTACTTACTTGCAATCATTTTAGGCTAATCTTGCTGCTGCAAAAGAGAAATTTGGACGAGAAATTTGTGTATTTGAAACTGCAGGACCATTGTCAACTCAAAATGATGTGCCCAACACTGGTATGACCCTCCCAAACTTATTTTCGGACTTTTAACATGCCTATTGACTAGAACGGACAGTTCATTTTGCAAACTGATCAAATGCAATGCTATTTATTTTCTGGGCAGAGGAATCAGATGACATCTACGAGTTCACTGCAGAAGACTATCAGCGAGTGATGGCAGCTAAAAAGGAAGGCACGTTTTGCCAATGAACATAACTCAATCGTTTCTATGCTTTCAACTTTATTTAGATACTTTCAGCAGTTGATGCTGGGGTTCAGTTACAATAAAATGGCACACTTTTTGGCGACATTTACACCGTTTGAAGTGGATAACTTTGTGAGCAGATAAGTACTTTAAGACACGAAAAATTCGACAAGTAGAAGAGGCATACCGAAGATCAAGAATAACAAAGGTACTTGCTAGTTGCTGCTTGCCACTCCCTTTGCGGATCTCTGTGTTGTTTATGCATAAAGTGCTTAGATCCCATTTATGAGAGAACTTCATTGAGTATGAGTAGTGAAACAAAGAGTAGGTTGTATTGTTTTCCTTTTTCGATAAGTTTTGATGTTAATGTGCAGGCTGTGATAAGGGGTCGATTTCCTGATAACCACACATTAGAGGTCACGTTTAATCCGTCAGAGACAATTCAGTGCTTGGTTGACCTTATCATGAAAGTGATTGCTCGACCAGATTTACCGTTCTATTTGTGTAAGCATATTTAAGTATAAACACTATGTTCTGTAATACTAACTGGATGTTGGTTGTGAAGCCAATGAATTGAATCGAATGTTCTTCATCCAATAATGTTGCAGATACTACTACTCCTAAGAAGCAAATAAAGGACATGACACAGGATTTTTTCTCTGCCGGTTTAATTCCGGGTGCAATTGTGTATTTCTCATATGATCTCCCAAAAGGTTAGTTATCTGATTTCTTTTTTGTCTGATCCCCACTCTCAGCTCCATATGATTCCTGCCGGTTAATCACGTTGGGTTGAAATGTTTAGGCAACGATGGTGCAGCTGCCAATTCGGCCGCCTTCCTTCTGGATGATGTCATGTCCTTGAAGGGTTCGGAGGTCATAGCTGGTACTGAGCAGGCAGAGCCGGTTCAGTCTGCCCCAGAAACCGCTGCTGGTGCCAGTACAGTGCCATCTCCTGCTGTTCAAGCAAGCAAGCCGAGTGATACAAAAACCGTCAAGCCGAAGTGGTTCAAAATGTGAATCGAGTTTGACCACCTAAAAGGCGAGCTTCTTATAGTCTTTTGGCACTTGTATTCCCCATCCATACCTCCATATAGATACTGAATTTTGGCCATTTGATCTCAGCAGCCTCGAATTTGATTGTGAGTTGACCAGATATAAAGGTGAAAGTTGTTAAATGGTATTGAACATGTCATGAATGATTGGACTTGCAAAAAAGAAAAATCAAATGTGAATATTTTTGCCGTGTTAAACTTTTTTTCCCTTTTTTACGATTTCATTCATAATTTCATTATTATTTGTACAACTTCCAAGTCAAGTGGATGGAGTCACAAATTGCATTATCATGTTTGTGAAGTGGGGTATTCAAGGCTTGATTTTGATTTTACGTCATTATTTTATGAAAAAAAAGACATATCATGATGTAATTATAATTTGAAATAATTTTTTTGGTTTAACTATTGAATTGAAACAAATTTATAAAAGCTCTTCATTTATTTTATTTTATTTATAATGTCCAGATTTAAATTTTAAATATTGTTTAAAATTTTAACATTTTATCTTGTAAGATCAATTATTGGTTTGTACTTTAAAATTTTTTTTAACTGAAAGTTTAATATTTTTAAATTATTTGTGTCTTAACCTATATAAATAAACTGCTAAATAAATTTGAACCGAATGACATTTTTATGAACATGTGAGCATATCCGTTTATATTAAAGGATTGTTTCTTTATTATAAGCTATTTCATATGTTATTTTATTTGCAGCGACGATTAGAAAACGATATCCCTTTCTATTCATGATTGGCTAATTTGTTAGGGCTATTGTATTTATGGTATTGCTGATAGAACAAAGTTACTTCTTTCTAAGAAAATGGTTGTCCCTTGTTCCCATATCTAATAGAGTAAGGGGAGGTAAGATAGTAGGCTGCCCCCAACACCAGGTTGAAAGCAGCTTTCGTAGAAGACCTCCGAATTATGAAATGTCCTTCGTGGGACTCGATCCCACGACTTCAAGGTTAAGACTAGTCGTAAATCAACAGGCTAAAGTGGAGGCATTGTTACAACAAGGCTACATCCGTAAAAGCCTTAGTCCTTGTATATTTCCAATCATCTTAGTCCCCAAGAAAGATGGCACATTCCGAATGTGTGTAGATTGTCGACTAATCAACAGAATAACAATCATGTATATGTACCCTATCTCATGCCTAGATGATATGCTAGATGAACTTCATGGATCATGCACCTTCACAAAGATCGACTTGAAAACATGTTATCATTAAATCTGAATGAAAGAAGGTGACGAATGGAAACAACTTTCAAAACAAAGTTCGGACTATACGAATAGTTTGTCATGCCTTTCGGACTCACAAAAGCGCCGAGCACATTCACGAGACTAATGTAGACACTGAATTTCGTCCTGATTTCAGTTTTATTTTATTATTTATTTTATTTTTTTTATTTATTTTTATTATTTTATTAGATTGGTGATTATATATATATAAATGTTGGTATTAATTAGATTCTATATATATGTTATAAAATTTTATAAATGCTAAATATAAGCTAATATTAAATTACATACAATATTAAGTAACTAATGTTTATTTTATTTATTTCTTTGTAGGTATTACAACATCCCAAATATAAAGAACAAAGCCAGACCCAAACAGTTCTCAACACAACCTGAAGCTCAATTCAAGCCCAATACACAAAAGCTCAAAACATTAAGTTGATTTGGAGACCTTGTATGCCCTAGCCGCCAGCTTTCATCCATCGTTGGATCCTTATTGGATCCACAGTCTAGATTAAACCCTAATTAGGGTTATCTTGTGAAACTCGTTGTGCCAATTTTGTCGCCGCCGTCGCAAGGATTTTAGAATCTTCCATCATCCATGTCGGCCACCACGTCACCAGCCACTTCAGCGAAATCAGGTGAAAGACCACTTCCACTATTTAGTAACACAGCTACATCGACCATAAATCTCCAATTTAGCAAGCCCTCTCCTCGTGAAAGCATCCAGCAAGAGGTGGTCCCCCTTAGTCCTCTTCAAAACCGTTACTGTAGAAATTCTTGATTTGGCATAAGACTTGTAACACCCATCTCCCGTATATCTTTCCGTACACGAGACATAGATGTCACATCACTTTTAAAAAAGTTTTTTATTTGGAAACCCTTAAAAATTTTGTCTTGAAATTTAAAACTAAAAACATTTTTATACAACAAGAAAACATTCGTTGAAACCTATTTCCCAAAGTTATCGCTTTAAATATATTCTAGATAAATTTTTCTTAATTTCGATTACATGCCAGCAATTTTCAAAATAACATGATTGTTCTACTATTACTGATGAGAGTCAACCTTAGATTGATGATAGTTGCTCCTGCTCCCAGTACCCGACTAATCTTTGTTGTTACCTACGCGTGAAATCAACATACGTTAAGTATATACTTAGTGAGGCATAATATTGTAAAGAATCTGCAATTTATACATAAGTATCTCATGCCTATGTAATGACAAACAAAATCGCATACTCCATAATGATCAGATAAAATCCTTCTCAGTTAAACCATATTTTTCTTTCATACAATCATCGAAATCATTCTTAGTAGTCCCAGCATACCTATCCTTCTGTATATTTTTCCCAATTATTCTTTATTTTCCCTATGTGCGTTAAATGAGAAAGTATTATACATGTATTGCACCAAAGTGTGAAATGGTCATTTATCTTTTATAATTATCATGAGTGACATCTTATATACCACTAATATACCGCTATGTATTTTCATTTGTCACATCCTTTTATGTCAATTATGCATTGTTATACATTTTCATTTATGACATCCTTTCATGCCAATTATGCATTGTTCTTCATCTAACTTGTATTAGTGTACCTTTCTGCCAAATTGCACCATTAGGCATTAGTCCTTTATCCTAAAGGCATTTAACCTTTCTTCTAACTTGCATTATTGGTACATTTCTGCCAAATGCACAGTTAAACATTAGTCTTTTATTTTAGAAAAATTTAAACCCTAATAATTATTCATAATACCAATTAACTCTTTCAATTCATTATAAACTCTATAGTTTGTACACGTATTGCCAATACGGTAATTCATAAACTTATTATAATTTACGTGGGTTCCACACCTACTACCAATACGGAAATTCATAAACTTATTATTAATTTCTTAGTTTTGCCCACAAAGTGCCCATACAGAAATTCATAAACTCATTATGAATTTCTTAGTTTTTGCACACAAAGTGCCCATACGGAAATTCATAAACTCATTATGAATTTCTTAGCTTTTGCACACAAAGTGCCCATACAGAAATTCATAAACTTATTATGAATTTCTTAGTTTTTGAATACAAAGTGCCCATACGGAAATTCATAAACTTATTATGAATTTCTTAGTTTTGCACACAAAGTGTCCATACATAAATTCATAAACTTATTATGAATTTCTTAGTTTTTGTACGCAAAGTGCCTATACGGAAATTCATAAACTTATTATGAATTTATTAGTTTTGCACACAAAGTGTCCATACGGAAATTCATAAACTCATTATGAATTTCTTAGTCCATACGGAAATTCATAAACTTATTATGAATTTCTTAGTTTTTGCACACAAAGTGCCCATACGGAAATTCATAAACTTATTATGAATTTCTTAGTTTTGCACACAAAGTGCCTATACAGAAATTCATAAACTTATTATGAATTTCTTAGTTTTTGCACACAAAGTGCCTATACGGAAATTCATAAACTTATTATGAATTTCTTAGTTTTGCACACAAAGTGTCCATATGGAAGTTCATAAACTTATTATGAATTTCTTAGTTTTTGCACACAAAGTGCTCATACGGAAATTCATAAACTTATTATGAATTTTTTAGTTTTGCACACAAAGTGTCATTCAGTAATCACCATACATATATTAAGCAACATACATCTATGACTATCACAACATATAAGTACATAATAAATTCACTCACCTGGCTTGCCTCGCTATCATATCCAAAAAGAAAATTCTGATTACTCAGCTACTTTGCCTTTGCCTTTCGTTTTGCTTGACTTGGGAGCTTGATTTCGGTCTACTCAAGCATCCATTAAAGACACGTACAATATCAATTGTTAGTATATTTCCTAACATTTATACTTTAATAATATTCACAAGTACTTTATTTACATTTCTATAACAATTTCAACCTATCTTATAGTTCCAGTCTCAATAGTATCGATACTTCTATACTATGGTACTGATACTCCCTTTCGATATCGATACCATTTTGACATTCTGTTATCCATGGTATCGATAATTTCCCTTTTAGTATCGATACCCCATTAGTATCAATACCACTTGCATCGGTACATATATTGTTCATCACAATTCTACCCATTTAAGCCTATAGTATCAGTATTGTTCTATCAGTACCGATACCCTTACCCAGATTTACCATTTTTCAGCCTGATTTTTACTAAATTTTTCCCCTCTAATCTCTTACTTTTACCTCCAACAATACTATTAAACTCTTCTTTACATAACCCAACTAACTTTACTTTATTTAACTTCTTATAAAATCTCAAATTTCCAAAGAACAATTCCACCCAAGAATACCACTTTTTCTAACATGTTCTTAATCCCATCCAATGCTTCTAATCTCTTATTTACTTCTTTGACAACTCAAATATACTAATAAACATCAACAAAAACTCATATCCTAACATATCATTCAAAAACCCATTTTCTTCGATCTCAAATATTTCAACCATCTCCTAGTTTTAATCTTACTTAACCCTTCCTTAAGCTTCCATAAGACTTAATGTTCCAACATCAACCCAAAAACAAGAGGAAGAGCTGGTTAAATTAAGTATCACCTTTGGCTATGAAGGATGGCTATTCCCCGGGAAAGAATGAGAGAAAAATAACTTAGGTTTTTCCACTTTTTCCATCTTTAATACCTTATTAAAAATGATTATTAAATTTATTTCCCTTTTAAAGGATTAAAATGCCCTTTCTATTATCTGTGGTTGTAAATTAGTCTAAAACACTATTCCAAATCAT